GAGCCTCCTTAAATCGCATATGAAGTGTCACTTGCATTTTGAAAATCAGACCAAATTTCAAGTTATGCGTTGTTCCGAGTTACAAATCGTAAGTGATGTTACTTTGCATATTATAAATTGAATTTGAGACGAAATCGCCAACGCATCATTAAAAAAGAATTAGTCAGTGCGTTTTTATCTGGTGGGTCCAAAACGCAGGTCAAGATTGGCGGGTCATGAGTCGCAAGTAGCAGGTGGTGTGTCATAGTTCACGGGTCGTAGGTCGCGGATGACTTATTACTTTGCCAATAGTTAAAAATGCCTATCTAAAGTAGTAGAATTTAGTAGTGTTCCAGTGTATAGTTGGAAACGATGCAATAATATGAGCGTGCTATGATGTTAAGTTCCAACATCTACTAGATTTTAACCAAAATCTTTAGATTATTTTCCCTCAATGTCCTTCCCTGATTTAGGCTTGACCCTCATCAATTATCACCTGATAGAACTCTTTAGCTCACCATCATATCATTAACCTTTTAAACCACAATAGTGACTATCATCTAATTTCTCCTTACAATATCACCCCTCAATCAAACATTAATGTCACAAGAATTGAGGAAATGATCACCGACTTAAGAAGCTCTTGATCGTTAAACAAATTATCCTTGTCAGCACCTCAGGAAAAGTATAGGGAACAGTACTGAGAATATTTAAATGAATGTTAGGGTTCAATAAATATATGTAAACAGTCATCTATAAAGAGACATGGCTCCTCAAGCTCAAACAAACAGCAATGTGTTCCACTGATGTTTGAGGGGTAAAATTCATTCTATATTCATTTTTTAAACCATGTTAAATGGATTCAGAGTAAACTTGGGTTTCCTTAAATTCCTTTTGTTCTGTAAAAATGTTGACCATGAGAGATAAATCTGGACAAAAAGTTTTTCCATAACTTTTTGTCTTATGCAAAGTGATTTGATATTTCTATCATACCTAAATAGTGTCCTATTTCATGCAGGATTTTCTTCTTGTAGTGCTCCACATCAGCTTTGTTGACACTCTCTCAGCAATTGTTTGAAAATGTCAGGACTGTCTGAAATTCTTCAACACAATTTAACTGAATGTTCTTTAAAAACTTCTACAGATTTTATCGACAGAATCCTCTGCTCAAGATAATAATGATTGTTCATTATCATGAAGGTCTTTAGAAGATAGTGAAGAATCAGGAATTCTAGAATAGGGGTTTGCAAATTCAATATCTTGTTTAGCAACTGTTTCCTTTCCATGTTTCCTAAGTCTAGGATCAAAGAAATCAATCCAGGAATCTTCATAGGGGGATCATTTTTCCTACCATTTTCCTCGCAGTGCTGTAAAGAAAGTTTAATTTCTGAATTAGGCACTGGTTTGTGTGTAGCTGTTGGTTTGGGGTTCTAATATGCATGCATACAGGGGACAGACTTTCTTTGATTTGAAAAAAAAAAACCATCAAAAACTGCCCCCAAATGTCTACATTCTTGATCTGCTCCACACTTGCAGTTGCAGAATACAGAGTAAAAAGACCCATTTGAATCAAGAACAAACCAGAGCCTGTAAAGCATCTCACCTTTTTGAGTTTTTTCTTTGTGTTGGTATCACCCAAGCCACAAATGCACAAAAAAAAAACAAAAAAAAAATGCTGCCATCAAAGTTCTGAATATGCCCATTTGTTCACAGGTTATATTCTTCAAATGAGTGCATATAGGATAGCATACTTTTACCATAATCAGTCTGAATCATTATTGAATGATTGAAAATGTCACTTGAGTAGTCATTGGATGATCACATCATTTAGAAAGGGTCCAAGATTTTTTTATCCAGCTGAAGAGGTAAGGCATCTTAACAAACATTCATCAATGAACTCATTTGCAAAGTCAGGTTGAGTAGAAAGGTCCATAAAAGGCTTTAGGATTTGAAAATTCCACTCAGAAATATATAGACAGGATTAGCAGTAGTAATTGTGGCTTGTTGTGAGGATGAATGCTTGGCAATTGTAAGTTTATTCGCAAAAGTTTGGTAATCAGTCATGGTAAAAGAGGATGAAGTCGGTTGCTTAGCAGCAGTAATTTTAGAGCTGGAGCTTGCTGCTCGATAACAGAAGAGGATGGTGGTTACTTGGAAGTAGTAGGAGTAGAAGCTGGGGCTGGATTCTAAACAGACCATGTTTGCTTGGTAGTAAAAATATTAGTGCTTGGGGCTGATTGAAGAACCCAAGATAAGGATGGCTTTTTCCTGGCAGTAGTAGGGGTAGTAGCTGGGGCTAGTTGTTCAACCCTTTCACTCCCAGGATCTCATTAGTAATTCTCCTTACAGTCTGCTATACAATTCTTATGATGTTAGTTTGGAGAATTTGGCATAAGATCAACAAATAATCCCCTATTTTATATTTTTCTCCATTCTTATAACTTGTCTACTTGAAATAGTATTAATAATGTAAGGAGAAATTCTGTCTTGGTCACTCATGGGAGTTAAAGGGTTAACAGAAGATGGATGCTTGGCATCACAAGGCTCAGTTGCTGGAGTAGATTGTTTAGCAAAAGATGGTTACTTAGCAGTGGTGAGTTTTGGAGAAAAAGTTGATTATTCAACACTTTTTTAAGTATGTGAAGATAATTCTTTTGTGTTGGTTGAAGCTTGACTAAGTTGCTCAGCTCAAGTACGTTCATACTTTCAGATGGTGGTTTGACAGAAGGAAAAGTTTGTGAACCCTTTAACTCTCAAGATCTCATCAGTAATTCTCCTTACTGTCTGTTACACAACTCTTATGATGTTAGTCTGGAGAATTTGCTATTGAATAGACTAATAATCCTCTTAATTATTAATATTTATCTTCATTCTTCTCACTTGTTTGCACGATAATGTATTGTTATCGTAAGGAGGAATTCTTTCTTAGTCACTCATGAGAGAGTAAAAGGGTTAAGCTTGATAGCGAGCTGTAGGATATTGTATTGCCTGAAATCTGTATTTCAGGCAAAGGAGAACTACAACAGCTACCTCAAGGCAACAGGAGAATGAAATGGTTTGCCTCATGAGCAGAATCATCTTGCTACTTCAAAGTGATTGGACACCTACGCTGCTCCTCTATTGTGATCGGTGAAAATGAACTGATCCAAAATTGAACCATCATTGACGATGAATTCGTACAAATAGATCTCTTGAAGAAAAAGCACAACGCAATATGCAAACAGCTTCTCCTTAAGTTCCCGTGATCTCATTGACAAGAGACAAGTAGCGGCTTACAAACCTCTGGATTTTTAACAGTCGAACTACTGTTTAACCCACGGATTTTCCCATGTCTCTCGTCGCTCGTTGCATCGCTCCAAAGAGCAATAGCTTGCCAATAAAATTACCCATCATTTCTTTTGATAAAACAGCGGCGAGAACGCGTTTATCTCTCACAAAAATCGTTATTCTGGACGTCGAGTCAAATTTTTGTTGTGCTCGCTTCTAAGTAGATAAGCATAACACAGGTATCAACCCTGGTGTACGTCGAAGAAAGGGATTAGAGGGGAGGTCTTGAAGAAAAATGAACTGAGCGATGAGATTCCCTTCCCACTCCCCGAGTGTCTCCCTAAGTACTTCCGACAGTTTTGTGCTAGTCAACCGATTTGTTTGGGCACGTCCATATTGCGCTGTCCACAGATCGCGTGATTTAATTACAATGTGCGTTTCGTCCCCCACTGTGTCATGGCACGCCTGAACTTTATTGTGGATTATTTGCTCTCCCACGAATAGTTTTGATGTTTACACGCTGACAGCTAGCGAGAGTATAAACGTATGCAAAATGGCGGATATTGAATTAAATCTACGTGACCTTTGCTTCACTTTCGGATCATTGGTAACATTTGTCTGGCTGCTATACTGGTGCGGAACATATCGGTTTTCTGTTCTTAAAAATCTTGGTATACCTGGACCTGAGCCATGGCCATTCTTGGGAAGTATTCTCGAAGTGCACAAGTTTGGTGGTCTGCATGTCATGTTGTTGGAGAACATGAAGCGCTACGGAAAGATCTTTGCGGTGTGTTTGGGTCGATCGCCCACAATTGTGATCACTGAGCCAGAGGTCTTAAAAACAATTTTAGTAAAGGAATTTACCAGTTTCAGGAATCGATCGGACGAGGTTAAACCTCCTCCTCCTCTTAACTGTGGCCTTTTGGCAGCCAGGGACGATCAGTGGAAGCGAATTCGAAGCATTTTGTCACCATCGTACACAACTGGTAAAATGAAACAGATGATTCCACTTATGGACGATGCAGTGAATGTACTGATGATGAAGTTAGATGAAGTAGCTGACGCAGGTATGCAGTAAAATATATCTAACAACTTTGAAAATCCCTTCGTTGTTTGACCAAATTGCGTGACAAAGACAGAGTTACTTTGTGACTTCTACACGGGAATAATAATTTACATACCAAAGCAAACGGACCAAACGGGATAAGAATTCCTATTAGAAGGAAGACAAAAAAATTTGAGCAAATTTAATCAATTTCTCAGAAGAATACTTTTCTCGGTTAATATTTGACGATAAACTTTCTGCACTTTTCCTTTTCGATTGTTTGTTTCTATGCATTTTAGTGTTTTGTTCTTTTGGTTAATTTATGTCGAGTACACTTTTTAACATAACAAAAACCTCTTTTATTTCACTTAATAAATGCACAGCTTATTATTAGTTTAGTCAACTTTGTGCGCTTAAAGTTGAAATTATTGGAAACGATTTCGCTTCGATTAAGATTAAGGACATGGACAACTTTTGATTGCGGGAATTCTGTTAAGCTTTAACTGTTGTTGCTGTCTTGTTCTAGAAAAAAGTGTAGAAGTAGTGGAGTTGTTCAGCAAGTTAACTCTTGATGTCATCTTGTTAACTGCTTTTGGAATCAAAACTGACATTCAGACAGATCCACAGAACTCAGTGACAAAAGAGGCACGAAAGTTGTTCCGTAGGTTGTGGCTGACGCCTTATCTATCGATATTCCCCTGTAGTTCTTTACTAAGGCGAATAATAGCGTTCTTTCGGCAAGGTTTAGCGTTCTTCGTGGGCGCGGCAAAAGAGATTTTCGAAGAGAGGAAAAAATATGCTACTGAGGGACGAAATGATCTGATACAGCTCCTGCTAACCGCTCACGATGAACCTGCAGCTCAGGGTGTCAGTAAACTGTCCGATGACGAGGTGATAGCTCAGTTGATTACGTTTTTATTGGCGGGTTATCAAACTTCCAGCAGCACACTGGCATTCACTGCATATCACCTCGCTATGGATTCTGATGTCCAAGAAAGACTAAGGTGTGAGGTAGAGATTGCCATTCAAACTTACCACGATTTGCCTTTGTACGATCTCGTCCACGAAATTGAGTATCTCGATTGCGTCATGAACGAATCTATGCGGCTTTGCCCACCCCTTCACATCTTTAATCGGAAATGCGAAGAAACATGCGCAATAAGTCCAGGCCTCACAATACCCGCCGGTATGGATGTTACCATACCGGTTTACGCGCTTCACCACGATCCCGAAGCGTGGCCCGATCCCAAAGTATATGACCCGGAGAGGTTCCGGGGACCCGCCAAGGAAGCGCGTCACCCGTTCCAATTCCTTCCGTTTGGCGCCGGTCCAAGGAACTGTATTGGAATGAAATATGCCATGATGGAAATCAAAGTCGCCTTGGTCAGGATTTTGAGGAAGTTTAAGTTTGTTCGAGCACCTGATACACAGGTACCGTTAATTTTACACTCGGGCGTTACCCTCGGCCCGAGGGATGGGATACATTTACGGGTCAAGCGAGTTAAAAGTCTAATTTGAAATCAGGTGAAACGGAAAAGAAGTAGGAATGATGAGGAATGGAGAAAATTAACGCGGATTGCAGAAGATCTGAATTTCAGAAGTGATTATCATATAACTTCTTTCTATGATATCCACACATTCAGCAAACAGGTATTGAGGAATACTTGAACTTATCAGGTAAAAAATGTCCCCTTGGTCCAACAACAAATCAGATCTTGGTAGTCAAACGTCAGGTTTAATTTCTCAAATTCCTGTTAGAATTTAATCTCGCACCCAGATCCTATCGTGTAACTTAAACCGCTTGGCCGTGGAAAGTCTGGGTATGAGCATTGTCAGAATCATCACGATGGCTCCTGAAATAATTTTATTTTCACCAGAATGAGGAGAAAGTCGAAGGATTTGGAGTGCACATACACATTCAGATTTTCCAAGTACTGGAATTGTTTTGAACAGGATTCTGTTGACTGGCAAGGCTCACATGTATTTATATCTGCAAAAAGACATTAAAATTTGAGAGTTATGCTGGATAAAAAGTCAAGAAAGATAAGGAAAAAAACCGATTTAACTGAATACACAGAAGAGCCGTGCTGAGAAGAGGAGTGTCTCTCTTTCAGGCATAGAAATAAAGCTAACTCGTTTCTAGTGCTCTCTCTCTCTCTCTTCTTTCTTAGTTCAAGTGCCAGGTGCATTTAAAATAGGGGAATGTATAGTATGCCCAGACCTCACACTACCAACTCATGTTCAGCTCCTACTTGATTTGTTGTCACCAAATCACTTTTTTCGGCTGGTTGGCGGATAGCAACCAATCAAAATTCTAAGAAATGAAAATGGAGACTGGACGTCTATTGAGAGAGGGGAGAAGAAGAGGACGAACGATCGTGCAGGTAACGCGCGATAAAACAATCCTGGCGGTATGGAGAGGAGAATGAAAAAGAAGAAAGAAAAGCAGATTTAGTATTTCCCTTGTATCTGTGTTCAACCAGAGATGGTGGAGGGAACTACTCACTCTGAACACTTCAGAAACATCCAATGTAATTATTGCCTGGAGATCGGATACTACGCTCTTAAATAATACTTGTGGCACGAGGCTCTTAGACAAAAGAGCAGTTACTGTTGTAAGCCAAACTCAAGTTATCTTTTCAGTACACTTTAAATCAGGCAAGCCTTACCATGCTATAATGTCCTCAGTCGCTTCAGTGATGATGATGACAGGAATTTTCAACTTGTTTTGCTTCGAATTCTTCTTGAAAGGCTGAAAGTGGTATTAACAGATTTGTATCTTAGACAATAAGTAGGAGAAGTAAAACAGGCGATAGATATTAAGAGAATGAATGTTCCAGACGCGATAATTATGCAAATTCAAAAATCAAAATTGGGAATGGCGTGATTCTTTCAACAACCCTTTTAATTCACGTGCAGTGTGAGCGCAATCCGGACATTTTATTTTACGCTCTGTGATTGATCTAAAAATCTCGCGCCACCATTTCAATCGATTGAATGCAGAAAAAAAACAAGTCGTGCTACGCAGAGTCACTTGCATTTACCCGCGCTTGAGGCTATTAAATTGTGTTCAGTTATACAACTGACTGCGAATATATGAACATCATATGTGTGTGCTGCGGGTAAGGAAGTGACTACGAAAGCGATCTGCGCAGTAATGAACACTCTTAGAGCATTAGTAAAAATAAGGCCTGAAAAAAAAAGTGCGATCAGTCTTGTGCGGAATTTGAACCCTTGACTCCTGTGATACCGATACCTTGGTTCTGTTGGGTCGTAATGATTTCTTTGGATTGGTGTCCATTAAACTTAAATGAATAGCGTTCATAGGATAGCAATACATGGCTAAATAACATTTCCTGTCCAAAGGTAATCAGTACTCTGCCTGCTTACCAAACTCATGGACATTCTCCTGAACATGTCTAAGAAACAAGATTTGCGTTCTTTTCGTCGGTTTTTAAGCCAATTGGGTTGGCTGTTCGCACTACGCATCGCCATCTCCCAGTTGTAGTCTCTCTCGCTTCTTAGATGAGCCTGTGAAGTAGAATACTTGATTTTTTCCAATTAAATTCAAAGATATAAAGATAAAATAGGTAGCAATAAATTCAAAGATAGAATAGGTGGCAATTCTATCTTCAAGCAGCTTTATGTTTCTTTGAAACTTGAATAATCTGAGAGAATTTGCTATCACATAAAAGTATAATACCTCTAAGCTGATATGTGTACAAATAGATTCGTTTGCAGGTTTTAACGCGGACAACGTACGTTAGAGGAAGTTTCATGTCATTAACTTTTGAGATCTAGTGGGGTCAATTTCCCCGAACTTTAGAGAAGAGAGAGAATATTCATCCAACCGCCATGCTCAACGAAGAAAACTTGGGGAAAAAAAACGCGCAAACATCTACGATCTTCCAAACAGTGCTCTACATGTTACTCCACTGCGCCTTAATAACCCTTTGAACCTAATGGACTGAGATAAGATTTGAAAAAATTTAAGAAAGTAGAGGAGTTAATATGTGAACAGTCAATAATTACTTACTCGTTTTCTGGAGGAAAGAGTATTGATCCACTCTGCGTTTTCGGGCAAATCCTCTCCAGACTAGAGGTAAAATGTTTGCAGGTGGTTAAGATAATTATTGGAAACATCTGAAAATAATCGTCCAACAAGCACTAATAGGACGTCAACAAAAATAGAGCGAGTGTTGAGTTGCAAAGGCGGGCAAGGAAAAAATAACCATTTATAATATATTTTTTAAGTTGACTAAGGTATGTGAACCGCCGAGATGAATTTTAATAAAACGGACGGTTTTGGCATCAGTCTTAAATCTTATTCTTGATTAGCGAGTGTCATAAATTCATCGAGAAAAAATTTTGTTATCAAATTGAAATAAGTGTCTCTTACTTGAATCTTCGATTGAGATTATGAATTGATACAATACCCCGACCATTCGTAAAATTTGATTTTTAACTCATCCTTACAATTTTCTGCATTTTTTCCCAAGGGTTAGCTGGTGTTCCGGGATTAATGAATCTCATTCTTTTTTGATCCACTACTGACAGTAAACGTTGGTCTCGGAAATTGCTCGGCGTACCGTACATATCCAGTGTATTCTGTGTGGGTTGAAAAAGAAGAAATTATGAACTTAGCAAATTTTATTTAACATATCCATCAGAAGATAGGCTCTTCATTCAATCCGGAAACAGGTAAACTCCACTTTACGTGAATGGTGAAGTACGCGCTGCTTGCTACCACAATACAAGGTTCAGCGTTTGAAATTCAATCTTTAACAACTGGTGGCTCTATTTTCGTCAATTGACTGGGCACATAATATTTATGCTAACGTAAGAATTAATGAGAGTAAATTAGGCATAGCATACCCTTTGCAATGTCCGCAGAAACTGAAATTCTTTCTTCAAATCTCTGATCCTAGACATGTTTCCCACAGCTCGCTACTAATTAGGGCCACTTAAATTATCTTTGCACTCACGCTGAAAACACGGAATTTGCGTCATTCCATCAAGTAAAAGACAATTACCACCATAGACTATAGGCAAAAGCAATTCTCTAGCAACGCCATAAGATGTAAGATACGTCATAGTTGTGCGAATGGAACCTAAGGAACTAGAAAAAAATAGCGACAAGGTCAAGGACAAAGAAGATCTAAAAAACAGTAAATAAATTAACCACAGGTTAAGTAAATATTTCTGATGAATCAACCATGATCATGCTGTCTAAATGCCTAACACTGAGTAAAATAATTTATTGACGAGACACTTTTTATAATGAAAAATAATTCACGATTAGTTAAAGGCTGTTTTTTTTTTAACTCTCCCTAATTTGAATGGCTACCTTTAGAATTTAGTATGTTTCAGTATAACTAAGATGTATTTTTGAGGTAAGAATTTGGGACTGTTTATTATGAGGCAAACAACAATACGAAAAAACAAGCAGTATTTTCGACATCGAAAAGGATGAATAAATTACAAAATGAGATAAGTCGATAACTGACGTTTTCAAAGTCAAAACATATGCATGCATCGCGTGCAAGAGTTAATTTTCAGTTTGGATTGGGTGGTTTAGTAACCGTAGTAACCGTTGTTTTCATTTTATGAAGAAAAACATCAACTTTCCAAACATTCCAACGAAAATTAACAAATCGACAGCGGTCAAGCTTAGTACTTTTAGCGACAAAAATATTCGTCATCACAGTGGTCAAAATGTTGTGGACTCACGCAAAAAATTATTTTTCACCCCAATACCGACGTCAAAATTTTCGAGTCATCCATATTTGAGAGCTGATAAAAGGCGTTGCGTGACACGTCGAAGCGAGCAGCTTTCAATCTAGTTGAAATAAACTCAGACCATAATTGAGTTATAGACCGAGACGAAACAACTCATTTGGGATATTGCGAAAACACTCGAAAACTGATCACATTCAACTATTCATAAAATAATACAAAGGCGAACAATCCACACGAAACTCTTGGTGTTAGAATCTCAACGGGGTGGCGGCTTTTACGACGAAGGTTAAACGTTGGCCATTTCAGGGCTGACGGTTAACTTTTTTAACGACTAACGGTTAAAATTTATCAATTTTTTCGCCTAATCGTCAAAGTTTTTGGCTGTATTAAGGCCAGCGACTTATCCCATTGAGACCCTCACAAAATGATCATTTTGTTTCATTTTTCCTGCAGCGATTGCAATATTATAGGGAGCAAATTGATTATGACAAATAGTATCACGAGTTGAAACAATGCGAAACAAGGATCTTGTTTAAATGAGTGAACAAACCTAAACAACCAGTCTCCATGACAAAACACAAATTGGGCCGCTGAAGTAAAATCTCATTCCTAAGTCATAAGCGAGAGTGAAAAACGCCGAAAAATGCAGAGAGCACGAATCACATTTAGACGAAAACATAGTATACATGCAAGACTTATTTTTCTGGTTGGGTGGGTTAGGGTGAGAGACCTTGCGCAACCGATGTTTTCAATGATTTTGATAAAAGAAAAAAAGAAGGCTGACTTTCAACAAGTCCGAAAGAAAAACACGTTTTTCTATAGAAAAAAATGAAAAAATAAAAAAGGGTGTTAGAGACAGAGGCATCGGGGCTGTTGTAAAAATTAAAGGTAATTGCGTAGATACTGGTTGCAAAAAAATAGCTTTACAACTTGAGGAAATGAAGCAAACATCCCAAAGTATTGCCTTTAATTTCCATTTTTTGACTAAATAAGACATCCTCTCTGATGTAACTAATATAACCTGGTTTGCCTCCAGGCAACAAACTGAACAAAACACAAATGTATAGGAAAACACCGCAGAGTTTAAGAAGAATGTTCCTCTTATTCCAAAGCATCATTCGTTTTGAGAAAAATATGACCCTGGTTCACCCTGTAAGTCAAACCGTATCGCCAGCGCGTATACTATTTCCTTTCCTTGGTCGCGAGAATGAGAAATGGCGCCTGAGTACGTGGCAGAAGTTGGCCGGTGTCAACAACAACAACAATCATAGATCTAGGACCTGTGAGCGCACACTGTTACTCGTAATGTACAATTCTAGTCCCTAGTACTTCTGTTTTCCGCACACGAAGAACTCTGGGGTCGACCGTCTTGTCATGGCTGTCATAAGTCATAACAAAGTGATAAGCTCTTTTCATAAGCGGTGAG